TAGGGGGGGAGGGTTGGCGACAGGCCAAGGATGGGTGACAGTGATGAAATCATGCAAGCCCACAGCACTGATTCCTGGTTGTAATGGGAACAGGGACAATCTTTTGTGCCTGCACACACACCCTGGTTTAAAATAGCATGGCACAGGAACCGGGCATGGTGGGCAAGAAAGTCTGCTTTCTCTGTAATAGTCTATTTTATTTAAAGRAAAAAAAGAAAAAGGAAAAAGAAAGCATATCCATGCCTAGTTATGTAATTATGAGTTTTCTTTAGAATCAAAGTGAAATGGCCATTACTGTGGTCCTAGGGTTCTGGGGTGTTGCATGTGTGGCGGGGGAGATTCTTAATACTGCTTAATTGTCCTAAATGTTCGTCCATCCACATCCACTCAGGTCAGCCAACATTTGAATGCCCATTACTGCAAATTACAGTATTTCTCTGTCTCCCGGGCCCAAAGCACATTGATCCCTTCAGAAATACAGAGGGCAACTGATGTGCGCTGGTGTTGTTCCCCAGCATTCCATCACGATGACAAACTACCTGAGATAAACAGCTTATAAAGAGAAAGGGTTTATTTTGGCTCATGGTTTCAAAGGTTTGAGTCCATGGTCTCTTGGCCCTATTGTTTGGGACCTGTAGTGGCACATGGCAGAAGAGGCCTGTACCCCATGACAGCTAGTGAGAAACTGATGTGAATCCATTTTTAAAAATAAATAAATAACAGCAGCTTCTACCTCAAGGTCTGTCCTAAGGAAGGGGGCGTGACCCTTGTCCTTGGAAAAACCCACAGAGCACTCCTAAGCACATACCCACCCTGCTGAGTTGTTTGTAAATAACAGGAGAGGTCTGCGAGCCAGATGTCCCTGACTCAGTTGGGCTGGGTGAGGTCCCATAGCAACCCCCCTAGCAACCTCTAATCATCATGAGACAGGGAAAATACCTGGAATGCCAGATGACCCCCCAGTAGTTTATGGTGGTTGATAACATGTTGGGAAACCATGTAGTTTAGCATGTACACCCCTCGTGGCCTAAACCAATCAGTTCAAAGGAATCCCCCTCTTGTACTAACCTGTAACCCCTACCCAACTTGTTCCCGCAAGTGAATGTGCTAATCAATGTTAAGAGTTGTTGTTTGACTTTCCCATGGTATGGAATGATTTGCTGTGTGATGTTGTGATGCATAGAGTATCCCCCCAAAACCTATAAAATCTAACTGGACAAAGGACCAGGACTCACTCCCTGGGACCGCTGTGTCAGGAACGGTTGTGAGTCCAGGCTCAAGCTTGCAATAAAGACTCTTGTGTGATTGCATGGGATTCGGCTCCTGGAGGTCTATTGGGGTCCCACAAATCCGTCATAACACTAGATAGCAGAGAGAGAGGAAGATGTCCTGTCCTAATATCCCCTTTAAGGGCACACCCCCAAACCCCAAATCCCTCCCACCAGGCCACCTAAAGATTCGATCACCTCACAGTAAGGCCATGACCAGGGACTGGGTCTTCATCACGTGGATCTTTGGGGAACACTCAAGATCCAAACTGTGACAGAGCTTCCTCTCAAATCACCTGTGTCTGTGGTTGGGTGGGGACAAATTGAGATGACACAGAAAGACAAGCCAGTATCTATAACCAGAGACAAAGGAGGTAGGTCCTGCGTCAGGGATGGCAGAGGACTTGTCTTGAAGGACGGTTGGAATTTCAGTAGGGAAAGGAAGAGAAAGGCTGGAGATGGAACGAGAAGAAAATTAGAACGTAAAGGAAGAAAACTCACGGTCTCTTCTGATGCCAGCCTTACCGCCCTGTCACAGATTTCTGTCCTTTATGACATCCTCCCTGGGCATCTCAGCAGGAGACTGTGGGAAGGTTCTTCCTTTTTTAATATCATTGGTATTTACAAACTGCCCAGAGGAAGACAGGAGTGGGAGGCGGGGGAACTTCCCCTTGATGAGGAAGGAGACCAGGATGCCGACTGTGGTCTCTCTGACTCCTGGCCCAGTGCCCTCCCCATCCCAGCTGTCCAGTGAGTCAGATGGGGTCTTGGTGAGGTACATAGAGATCTGAGTCAGATGAACCTATCTGGACCCAGCTCTGAACTTCACTGTGTGCCCTTGAGCTTCACCTCTCTGAGCTTCCTTACCTACGTTTGCAAAATGGGGCTAATAATGTTTACAACAGAGCTGTCAGGTGAATGAAAATAAAGATCATACCTACAAGATGTTTATTGTAGTAGCTGGGACACAGAAATGTTGATACAGTCACTCACTAGTATCTCCTATCATTGAGATCATAATTATTCACACACACACACACACACACACACACACACACACACACACACACACACACACAGAGTTTCTTGTTTATTGCCTGAATTTTAGAGTCTATGTGGAAGCTGGAGCCCATGTCTGGGCACTTTCTAATCCTGTTTTCTTCCTCAAAGAGGCTGCTCCCACCCCATTTGCACAGAATTCTCTGAGCCTGCTTGTATAATCCCAGCAGCTCAGGAGGTGAAGCAAGAGAATCACAAGTTCAAAGCCAGCCTCAGCAACTTAGTGAGGTCCTAAAATAACTCGGCAAGTCTCTGTCTCTAAATAAAATATAAAAAAGATCTGGGAATGTGGCTCACTGGTTAAGTACCACTGGGTTCAATCCCTGGTACCAAAAAAAAAAAAAAAAAAAAACCCACCATAGTTTAAAGTGCTTCTGTTAATAAAACCATGCCTGAATCTTGGAAAGATCTAAGGATACCATAGAGAGCACTCTGGAGTAGGTCTCTTGAGCCAGAGGGGATGTAAACAGCTCAGCATCTTGTTCCCACATCTCTGTGGCACCCCAACCCTGTTTTATCACTTTTATTGATCTAACTAAACACACCCCACTTCTTCTTTTGAAAAGAACAAACACTAGTAGACAGATTTGCAAATGTTATATGGTCACTTAATTTAATTATGCATTATTACTTTGGACATGTGTTGCCTTTAACAGAACTTTCTTTCTTTCTTTTTTAGTGATAGTTGGTACAGTATCTTTATTTATTTATTTATTTTTATGTGGTGCTGAGGATCGAACCCAGTACCTCACACATGCAAGGCAAGTGCTCTACTACTGAGCTACAGCCCCAACCCCAGAACATGGTTTTTTGACCTTCAAAGATTCAAAGACTTGAGGTCAACTGGTCTAGTCATTCTTATTTATTTGGGGTTCTGCGTGCCTCCTCAGGCAAAAGCAATTTTTCACACAATTACTGGGACACTCCCCCCACCATGTGGTCCAATAAACAAGAGAATGTCAACAGAATCTCAAAAAGGCTAAGATAACTCAAGCTATCAGTTAATTATATGGTCAGGATTCAAACTCTGGTCTGCGACCCACTGGCTGTTCCAGGAGAGACACACCTAAGGCCAGGTTGCCTGTGTTCAAAGCCTGGTTGCTCTGCCTATTGGTTATACGACTTGTGCAGATTACAAAGCCCCTTGGTACTTTAGTTTCATTAGCTGAAAATGGGATGACAATAACAGGACCTTCCACAATCAATGCCTGCCACTTGGCATTATATCAGTGTTTGCTATGATTACTTTGTAATCAAGAAGGACAAGTTTGCTGAGTGTGGTGGCACATACCTCTAATCCCAGTTACATGGGAGGCTGAGGCAGGAGGATTGCAAGTTTGAGGCCAGTCTGGGCAACTTAGTGAGACCCTGTCTTGAAATAAGATTAAAAAGGCTGGGGTTGTAGCTCAATAGCAGAGTACTAGGCCACCATGCAAAGCCCCAGGTTTGATCCCCAGCACTGGGGCGGGGGGCCAGTGGGGGAAGCTCAGGGAGATAGGCACTTTCCCCTGACCACCAACCTACCAAACGGTATGTGACTCCATTCCCAGGATGTGACCCAAAGCCTTTAGTCTGGGAACACAGCACTCTGCATCCAAATTTCTTCCACCAACCCCATTTTCTTTTTCTTCAATTTTATTCTTAGTTTGCATTTTTTCTTTTTTATTATTTATTTATTCTAATTTTTTATACATGGTGGCGGAATGCAATTCATTTCATATTACACATATAGAACACAATTTTTCAAGTCAGTGGTTGTACACAAAGTATTTCCACACCATTCGTGTCTTATACATTTACTTAGGGTAATGATGTCTAACTCATTCCACTGTCATTCCTACCCCCATATCCCCGCCCTTCCCCTCCCTCCCCTTTGCCCTATCTAAAGTTCCTCCACTCCTCCCATGCTCCTCCCCAATCGCATGCATCCTATATGTCCGCAACCTCATATCATTCGGCCTTTGTTTTTTGGGGATTGGCTTGCTCAGTTAGCATTATTTTTTACCTGCAAATACCAGTATTTTGTTCTCTTTTAATGCTGAGTAAAGTTCCATTGTGTATATATACCAAAGTTTCCATTCATCTATTGAAAGGCATCTAGGTTGGCTCCACAGTTTAGCTATTGTGAATTGTGCTGCTATAAACATTGATGTGGCTGTGTCCCTGTAATATGCTGTTTAAAGTCCTTTGGGTATAAGCTGAGGAGTGGGATAGCTGCCACTGACCCCATTTTCAAAGTCATGACTGAATGGCACCAGAGCAGATTGCAGAAGGTCAGGGATTCGCTTCTTCAGAGAGCAACCCTGGAGTTCAGCATGAAAATCCACCTCTTCCCTGCAGAGGAAGGACCACAGAAGAGCGGGAGAAGGGTTAGGAGTCGGAAGTCAATGGCAGGGAAAGGGGATGGAGACCCAGAGGGAGCAAAGCAGGTGGGGACGTCTGGCCTCTGACTCCTGCTCTTGAGGTTGCAGAAACAGCCTGTGACAGCAGCACAGGGGGACAGCATAGGTCCAGGGAACTAGCAGGGGCTGGACGTGCTGCAGAGAGGCTTCCTGGGAGCCTCTGGGTTCCGAATTCAGAGATTCCCCTCCCTCCCTGGGGTTGTGGGCTGGGCTGTTGTAACACTTTCGGTTTTGTTTTCTCATCCTCGAGAAACGAAACCCAATAGAGAAACTCCAGGGAGCAGAGCATGGAGGGAGACTTCCAAGTGTGCAGGAACTGGTAAGAAGGCACTTTCTCTAGCAGAGACCACTAGTGAGGGTCAGACCAGAGAAGGCTGTTTTTGAAGTGAGGAGGACACAATGTGATCTTTGCATTCAAACGCCCAGGAGGGTGGGGACTGGGATCCCCTGGGGTTGGGAAGTTGAAACCCTGTAGAGGGGTAGGGTAGTCAGCAGAACTGGAGCTTCAGTACCCTCCCTCAGATCAGCTAGTTCAGACCTTCTGGATCAGGCCTGGAGTGAAACATGCAGGTGAATTGTCCTGACTGAGCTACTCATCCTTGGAACTTAGAAACTGACTTGGAGTTCTGGTAATATGGCCTCCACACCAATTTATGAAGGAAAGGGACCCACGGAGATTCCTCAGGACCATTTCCACCCTCACCTTGAGAGCGAGCTGAGCAGGTACCAGGCCCACACCTCTCTGTGAGTGGCAGCTGGCCCATGGAAGAGCCTCACTCTCAACGCTCTCTACTAGCGGCAGGAACCAGGGTGGAATGTCCCCAGAGAGCTTTGCTCCTACCAGACCTTTCTAGATCTGTGGTCCTGGGAACAAACTTAGGAAGATCTCAGGGAACAGGACAGGCAGAGTAGAGAAGGGGGAACAGAGGAAAGGGAATGTAAAGCCACTCATGTGCCTCTGACCAGGCAGCTGGTTCTAACCAAGAGCAGTGAGATTTGATGGCCACTCCTGGCCCAGTCCCATGTGATAGGGACTTTGACAGGCTCTTCTCTGGACATCTGGGCTGTAGGGCTACAGTCTCTATAGAGTTTTCTTCCTCCCAAGCTGCCAGCAAGAATTGATGGAAACGAGGGTGGGAATGGTTCTGGGGAATCTCCATGGGCCCCCTTCTTTCACAGATTGGTGTGAAGATCATATTATCAGAACTCCAAGTTAGGACCTAAGTTCTGACACGTATGAGTAGCCCAGTTGGGACAGGCCTGACCCAGAATGTCTAAAATAGCTGAGCTGAGAGAGTGACAAAGATTTTTGGAAAAACTGCCCTGCCCAGGAAGTGGGAGGCTCAGAAGCCTTGATTCATCAGGAAGGGCTTTGTGACCTCTCTGGCAGGGAACAGGTGGGTGGCCTCTCACTCTCAGAGACATGGATCACTCTCGCATTGGAGATTCTCAGTTGTCATCAACCTTGCAGGAAGCCTGGAACTGGCAGGGTAACTGGCTTGAACCAGCAGAGGCACCAGAAAATGAGGGAAAAAAAACTTTGGAAGAACTAAATATTTGTTATTGCATTTTGATTACAGCCTTACTGATGTATAATTGACCTAGGATAAACTGGATGTCTCTAAAGTACCACTTGGGATGTTTTCATGTATGTCCAACACCCATGAAACCATTCCACGATCTAGGAAATGAATTTATCTATCCCCGGAAAAGGTTTCCCCTTACAATCCCTGCCTCCTGCTTCTTCACACCTGCTGGGTCCAGCACTGGAGGAACTTTGTAATCGTCCTTAGACTTATTATGAGGTGCTGCATTGTTCTGATTCTGGACCAACATTGGGGAAGGCAGGGCAGGTGGGGTCAACACCATCATATTTTCAGTGCTGATGGACTCCAAGGAGCTGGCCCTGGGTAGAAAATAAGCTCTGTGTTCTATACCATGACAACAAACCTGTTTTTCTCCCCCCTGGCTCCCACAGCAGAAGAAGTGTGGCCTCTGCCCACTTCACCCTCCACGAGGCCCACTGCCTACGGTTCCTGGTCCTTTGCCCAGAGTGTGAGGAGCCCATCCCACAGTCAAAGATGAAGGAGCATTTTGAAAATGAGCACCAGCAGGTGAGCAGGTGGCAGGAAGGATGGGAACCTAGGGCTCGGGGGCCAGAGTCCAGTCCTCCCTGGTCCCTGTGGGCAAGCTGTTCAGCCCCTGTTGAGCCCCTGTGTGTAGAAAGGTATACGACCCTGTCTTTCTCATACTAGAGTGACTCTGCCCGCAGTTTCTCTTTCTCAGATTCTTTTCCTACAGGCTCGTGGGTCTGGCCAAGACCAGGGAGGTTCTTGTTGCAGGGAAGCTTAAATATTCTTTCAAGATTCCTAACGTGGGAAAGCAGGAAAGGAGGGCAGACAAGCATCACTTCTTCTTTCCTGCTTTTTTATGTCAGTCTGTCTTGGGGCTCCCTTATCTGTATGTCTGGAAGTCCTCAGGCTTGGGCATCTGTTTCAGCTCAAACTCGTCCAGCAAATGCTTCTTGAACACTGGGCTAGATGCTAGAAGGAGCGAGGTAGCCACACCTGATTCCCCACCTTCTAGAAACACCAAGCACCAAAGTGGATGTGGGGAAGGCTGGAGGTGTGGGGTGAAGTTTCTCTCTCTTGCTGTCCTCTCTCTCTCTCTCTCTCTCTCTCTCTCTCTCTCTCTCTCTCTCATTCTTTCTCTGCTTAAATCAGGTGTGAGATGTGTCCGTGAAGTACAGAAGCTCTTGCTGGAATTGCATGCAGTAAGAGTCAGGTGTGATTCCTCCTCTACAGTCAAGCAGTCCAACATGGGAGAAGGAGAGCAAAAGGGAGAAGCAGCTAGTCATAAATTCCCTCTGAACATTGCCTTCTCACCCAAGTGGGTTCAGAGAGCCATGAAGAACCAGCCCCCCCTCAGGAAAACACATTCCCCCCATCCTCAGATGTTGAATAGGAGGGTTTTCTGTACGTCCAGGGGTCCAAGAGAGGTCAGATTCCTCAAAGACTGTCCTGTACTCTGGCCCTTGCCCTCGCCTTCTCTGATTGGCTTCAGTTCCCTAGGGAGATAGGTTCGGGTTCTTGACCTGCCGTCCAAGAGGCCAATGATCATGCCCTTCCTGCTGCCTCCCGCAGACCGAGGAACGCCAGCAAGACTCCATCCAGTGCAAGTTCTGTGAGCTGACGGGGTCCCTGAAGGAGCTGCAGATCCACGAGTCCCGCTGTGACAAGCAGACAGAGTGCTGCCTACACTGCGGCCAGTTCATCAGGCTTCAGGTGCTAGCCCGGCACCAGGAAGTCTGTCCGGGTAGACAGGCTCAGCTTGGAAAAGGTGAGCATCAGGGAAAGCCTGGGGAGGAAGCAGGAAGCCTCAAGGGTCAGAGCCTCTCCTGGGCGGGATGCAAGGGACTGGATGTCCTCCATGGTGCAGAGGAGAAGGGTGTTTCCTTGTGTGTACCTCAGTTCATCTGCTATTCTAGGTCTGCACCAAGCTCTAGAGGGGTCTTCTTGTGTGTCTGCCGAGGTCTTTAAATGATTGGTCCAGGAAGACCAAGAGGCCTAGGCGGGATGGGGGTGGGGGCTGAGAACCCCACATACGAGTCAGGAAGCCATGGAGAGTCCTCAAAATGGGGGGGGGGTTCTTTGAACTCCTCCAGTGCAATCTTAGCCTGGTGAGACACACACCCCCCCCACCCCGAATCCTTTTATAAGTGAGAAATCTAAGAATGAAGCAGGGCTTTCTCAAAGCAGAAATAAGACTGGACACTCATGTTTCCTGATACAAAATCTAGTTCTTTCCACCATCTGCAATGGCCAGAGGGGAGCTATCTGTAGCTCCTGAACTTCACCAGGCCTGTGTGTTGGCCGCCTGGTATCACCTTCTGTTCTCTTGGCCCAATTCAATTAATTCTTTGTGAAGGTGTGTTGAGGACACAGCTCTCAATGTGGCTGATGTTTTTGCTACCACAATGTGGTAACATGGGGGTGGAGAAAGCCTAAAACCCCTTAGATGATAAATCTCTCCTGGTGAAACCCTTAGATAATAAATCTCTACCCAGGGTCAAAACTGACCAATGAAAACTGGACAGCAAGAGGTCCATGCATGCTTCCTTCATTCCCGTGTGCCTGGGCTTCCACACAACCAACACAACCTGCACCACAACTTCATCCACACAAGTTCAACACAACATGGCTTCAACCTAATGATGTGTACAGTCAACATCTAGTTGGATCACAGATCTTGGAAATGAGTAGAACGAGAGAGTAGTTAGACAGGTGTGGCCCCTGTAGTAATGGCTCCCCTTATCGCCTTAAAAACCCAGCTCCTGCTAAATGTCTCTTCCCCAGGGTGGCATGCTACCCTGAGTGCACAATGTGGCCACATCCCTGTGTGGCTGAGGATGCTGGCAACGCAGGAGACTTAAGATGGGGCCAGCCTGGGGGCAGTTCATGCTCACAGGTACATGCCATGCAGGCAGTCAGGGGAGAGCTGGGCTAACCATTGTCAAGGGTGATCATTTGTGGCGTTGTTTCTGTGCTTATTCAGGGAAGAGAATTTCAGCTCCTGAAAGGAAGATCCACCGTGATTATTACAACCAGAAGTATTCAGAAAATGAGTCCATCCTCCATAGGGTGAGTAGCAATTAGTCGTTTTATCACGATGCCAATAGCTAATTCATATTCTAAAAAAAAAAAAATGTGACGTGAAAGAGCAGATTCTGGCCCAATTTGTCATTGCACATATATAAAGGTTCCCATATTTATTTTTTGCTTGGTTCCCAAAAGGATTTTCGTGAATTCCTTTCAGTGAATTTAGCATACATAATTGACCTTCAAGGAGTACCCATGACCTCCCCTGATATTTCTGATCACCTCTGACCCTCTACAACTTTCAGGACCTGCAGGGCCCTCAGGGCCTTGTTAGCGCATTGCTGTGCCAAGTTGTTCCCTTTTTTTGTACAAGACGGAAAAGTCACCATAGCTTCTCTCCAAAGACCTCAACTTCTCTTTGGACACAGAGCTGTTTACCTTTCTAAATTCTTCAATTCATAGAACTTATAGAATATCAGAACTAATGACATCTTTTTGCTTTTTTATCACTATAGTAAGATATACATGAAATTCGCCATTAGTGACATATTTGACTTTCACAGTGTTATGAGGCCATCACCACTCTATTTCCAGGGCATTTTCATCACCCCAAAAAGAAACCCTGGGCCCACTGGCAGCTACTCCCCATTCCTTCCTTTTCCCAGGTTCTGTGGACATTTTATATTAGTCAAATCCTCCGTGGTCCTCTGTGACTGGCTTCCTTCAGTTAGCATAACGTTTTCAAGGCTCATCCATGTTGTAGCTTTGACATGTGTGGGTACCTTATTCCTTTTATGATTTTTTTTTTTGTGCGTGTGTGTGCTGGGGATCAAACCCAGGGCCTTGTACATGCAAGGCAAGCACTCTACCAACTGAGCTATATCCCCAGTCCTCCTTTTAGGATCTTTTTATAGTCATGCTGCCTTGTGTTTATCCAATCTGTTGCCAGACAAGAATGCTTGGGTTCCTTCTGCCTTTGGCTCCTTGCTTTTTAAACAGCAGATCTGTGGACCAGCAACCTCGGCATCACCCAGAAGTTGGTTAGAAAGACAGACTCTCAGTCCCCTTCTCTAGAAATGCTAAATCAGAATATGCAGGGTGAGGGCTGGGACTGTAGCTCAGTGGCAGAGCACTTGCTTAGCACATATGAGACACTGGGTCCGATCCTTAGCACGGTATTAAAAAATATATACAAATAAAATAAAGGCATGCTATCCATCTACAACTAGAGGGAAAAATTTTGAAAAAGAATATGACAAGATTTACCGGGTGTTTCAAGTTTGAGAATTGCTGCCTCAGCCAAGTGATGACCAGTCTTAGCTGCACATCAAAATCACCTATGAGTTACCTTAATACTGATATTTATCTCTAAGTTGCCTGTGTTTTTTGTTTGTTTGTTTGTTTGATCAGATACTTGTTATGCACCAACATAAGAGTGAAGTTGATGGCTGGGGTTATGGCTCAGTGGTAGAGCACTCACCTAGCATGTATGAGGCACTGGGTTCGATCCTCGGCACCACATAAAAAAATAAATAAACAAAATAAAGGTATTGTGTCCATCTACAACTAAAAAAAAATTTWAAAAAAAAAGAATGGAGATGATTACTCCCCTTCAAAATGCTCCAACCTGTAACCAAGGACACCTACATATTTATTTGAAGGTGGGGGGAGCTATAGTAACCATGGAACTGGATTTGTTTGTGGTCAGAAACTCTTTTGAGTTTTATGGGACTCGGTTTAGCTGATCCTAGTTTTTTGGCAATATCTAAAGCATCTGCAACTTACTATGTGCACCCTCCCTGAGCTTCTTTCTTATTTTGTGGAAAATAGGAACAAAGATTTATCTACTTGGTCATGAAAAGAGGACAGCCACAACCACTCAACACCAGAGCCCCCTCCCTCCTTACCAGCATCTATATTCACATCTGCTACCTTCCCATCCATTATCATAGAAGGGCTTTCTGTGCTCCTGTTGAACACTTATCCCCTCCTGATGCACCAAATCCTTCCTTCTTGCCTGCACAAGGTCACTGCTACCCTGTTAGAGCAGTTCTCTCTTCTCTCTTCTGCAACATGGAGAGGTTAAATGCACTGTACATGCAAGCAACGACAAAATCTCAAAACAGTTCTCCCGCTATGTTCAAACATTTGTTATGAATGTTTAAAGAGGTGATAGTAACACTTCTACCCATGGTATTCTCTCTGACCTTACATGGAAGGCATATTTATTTATTTATTTATTTATTTATTTTGAGAACTGGGGACTGATATAGTGTACACTAGGCAGTTTCATGATTCTGTCCTTAACTTTAATAGTAACAACCCCAAACCAGAAAAACAAAAAATACTTGTCTTCATCCCATTTCCTGCCAGCCAGCCATCATATTATCTCTTTGTTTCCCTTGGTAGCAAAATATTTGAACTCACTATCTATATTCTTACAAACGCTCCATTCCAGCTTTCGAACCCACTACTTCCCCCAACTCTGCCAAAAGTACTCTTCTCAAAATCATCAATGACCTTTGCCTGGCTAAATCCAATTCTCATTTCTTAGTCATCAATTAATAATGAGATTTTAGGGCTGGGGATGTGGCTCAAGCGGAAGCACACTTGCCTGTGGCATGCGTGCGGCCCGGGTTCGATCCTCAGCACCACATACAAACAAAGATGTTGTGTCCGCCGAAAAACTAAAAATAAATAAATATTAAAATAATGAGCTTTTAACACCCCAGCTCATCATCCCTCCCTCTTCCTCAATTCATTTTTCTTGGCTTCCAGGAGACCCCACTCTTCTGGTTTCCACTAGACCCCCCCCCCAACCTCCTAATAAGTGGGGACAGGGCAGAGCTCAGTCTCTTATCTCCTTTTTTATGGTGAAAATATCTGTAATTGAAATTAACCAGCAGGACTCGGTTTAGCTGATCCTAATTTTTTTTTTTTTTTTTTGGCAACATCTAAAGCATCATAATCAGGAGCCAGTTAATCATGCCTTCTGTCTCCACCAGGCCTGGTCAGGGTATTGACCTTGGCCACATCGATGTAATAGAGCCTCTTCAAAGTATGCTCAGATGCTTTTTGGCCTTGACACCCACAAAGAACCCAAGTGTGTTGTCATCTCGTACCTTCTTTACCGCCGACCCAGTGGTCAGGTGCAGCTTGATGGCAGAGTGGTCTAGCTGATCTTTCCCAGCGGTGCTGTTTGAAGGATATCTGGGTGGACCCGGGAGCCACAGGGCCTGGGGCAGAAGGTGGGATGATGGGCAGGTGTGTGTGTGTGTGTGTGTGTGTGTGTGTGTGTGTGGCCACCTTTCAGCACTGCCTTGGGAGCCTTTGCTTTGGCTTCAGCTTTGGGAGGGACAGGAGCTTCCTTCCACACTTTGAGCACCATTGTGGTCTCTGGTCTCTATTATTCCTACACCTGCTGCCTCAGTCATTTCATCTAATCTCCTTTTTTTTCTTAATGCCATATGTAAACTGACACTCCTAAATTTATATCTCAGTCTGAACTTTTTACCCTAAACTCCAGATTCAGGTATCCTTGCCGATTCAGGCATCGATGCTTGAATGCTTGGCAGGCAGCTTAATCATAACACATCCGAAATGGCATTCTCTCCGCCACTGCTTTGCCCATCTTCTGCAATGGCAACTCTGTCCTTCCAGCTGCTCAGGCCACGATTTCAGGTGCGTCCTTGACTCCCATCCTTCCATCAGTGTGGGTACCCTGGTGCCAGCCACCGTAACCTCCAACCCCAGATTGCTGCTGTCATCTCCTCACTGGGCTCCCTACCACCCACCTTGCCCACTGCAGTGTGTTCTCACCATGGCCGTCAACATGAACCTTTAAAAATACAATGATTTCATTCCTCTGCTCAAAATTCTGTACAGCTCCCGCCCCCATTTCACACAGTCGAAATCTGAACAAGGGCCTCTGTGCCCTGCGTCTTCTGCGCCTCTCTTTCCTCCTCATCACCTCTCCATCTCATTTCCCAGCCTGCTGGCCTCCTGGTGGTTTTCCTGAGCACACGGTACGTACCTTAGAGCATTTTCCCTGGCTGTTTCCTCTGCCTGAAAGTCACCCCGTCACCCCACTCCCTGCCATATTCAAAGAGCTACCTCAAGTCTTTGCTCAAATGACACCTCAAGGAGCATCCCTTGACAAACTATTTAAAACTGCAGCCCCTCCCCATCACATGCCCACCACCCCTCACCTTCCTCTGTATTTTTCATAGTATCTATCAACTTCTAATATATTATCTAATTTCATTATTTATTATGATCCTTATTAATTGCCTCCTATAGCCTCAGTTAAAATTAAAATAAAATCCCCAGTGCCTCCTTTCCTATTAATGGCTTCATAGACACAAGTACTCTTATTTTTCTCTTTTCCCTGTTTCCTATGATAATTACCTGCATATTTCTTTCTTTCTTTTTTTTTTTTTTTTTTTTTTTTTGGTCCCAGGGATTGAACCCAGGGGCACTTATCCACTGAGCAACATCCCCAGCCCTTTTCATATTTTATTTAGAGACAGGGTCTTGCTAAGTTGCTTAGGGCCTTATTAAGTTGCTGAGGCTGGCTGAACTTGATCATCCTGCCTCCTCCTCCTGAATTGCTGGAATTACAGGCACGCACCACAGTCCCCGGCAACCTCCATATTTCTAAAGCACTTTCTTTTACTGATTTTTTTTTCAATTTTAGATATTATCTACTGACTTATTAGGATTTAGGAATACAGGTTTCATTCAAGTTTCATCATTCCCTCCCCTCAATTTATTGACATCATTCATGCTGGTTAAATCAGTACTGAATATTACATTACTCTGACCATGTAAACATTATAAATGATTTGCCATATGATCAGATTTACTTTTTTCTACAACTCTTTGTTTCCCCTGAAGTTAGTAGTTGCTTCATTTTTTTCATTTGTTTCACTTTCTAGTTACCTATCACTAAATCATCCCTTAAAGATTCTGCCAGATCAGAAATTTTCCCCTCAGTATAATTAAACACACCAAGTATTCTATTGATTTCATGTTGGGAGCATGTTATTCCCTAGCTCATCCTAGGAATTTCTTCCACCTTTTTCCAAAGTTGGAATTCTTTTCTTCAAATCTCAGGTCAGGTCTTCCATTTTTTCTTGATTTATTACTTATTTGATAGATGTATTCTCCATTTGTCTCTTGAGAAAGAAAGCGAGGGAGTAAATTTTTTAGACCTATATGTCTGGAAATGGTGGATTAGATGATAATAGAATCAATCATCTTAATTTTTTAAATATTTTTTTTTTTTTAGTTTTTGGCAGACACAACATCTTTGTTTGTATGTGGTGCCGGGCCACATGCATGCCAGGCAAACGAGCTACCACTTGAGCCACATCCCCAGCCCTGAATCATCTTAATTTTTAAGAAAATTATTATAAAAACACTCAAATAAAATGAAAGTAGAGGGCTGGGGCTGTACCTCAGTGGCAGAGAGCTTGAGGCATGAGGCACTGGGTTCAATTCTCAGCACCATATGAAAATAAACAAATAAAATAAAGGCAATTAGAACTATAAAAAAATTTTAAATGAAAGTAGAAAGCTAATACAAAGAAAACCTATGTATTCATCCCTGAGATACAATAATTAAAAGTTTCCCGTATTTACTTTTTCCATTCTTTTTTTTTTAAGATATCCAAGATCCAGAGGAGAGAGCAATTTGTCTTTTATTTTATTTTAAGAGAGAGAGAGAATTTTTTAATATTTATATTTTAGTTTTCGGCGGACACAACATCTTTGTTTGTATGTGGTGCTGAGGATCGAACCCGGGCCCCACACATGCCAGGCGAGTGCACTACCGCTTGAGCCACATCCCCAGCCCAACTTTTTCCATTCTTTTGTATTTTTATTTTTTCTTTTCTTTTTTTCCTGAAATATTTCAAAGCAAATTCAAAATATCTTGCTATTTCACCATTTAAAGATACATTTTTAAATATGGTCATTTTTTTTTTTTCACTTAACCACGGTGCCTTTAGTACATCTAATGATATTGACAATAGTTCTTTTCACCATCTTTTGGGAGGCCTTCCATTTACCACACTTACTCATTACTACTTCAGCTGCTTTTCCCTCCCCTGCCTTCTGTTAGATTGAACAAGTTTTCTTTCTTATTTTTCTTCTTTTCTATTGATTTGGCAATTTTGAATTTTCTTTCTATTATTTGAGTAGATATTAATAACTTTTAAATATGAAAACTTTATAAAGTCCGCAGTGAATCATTATCTCAACCCTCTTTACAAACGTATATGGATTTGAAAATATGCTAACTCTAACCCTCTAATCCTATTTTATATGAAAATGTTTCCATAATTCTAACCTGCTTTGTTTTCCTACTACCCCTCTTTAGTCATTAGAGTTATTGTTAAGTTATGCAATTCATGCCTATTTGGGTATGCTCACAAGATTACCCTTCTCTTTGCTCACATTTTTTCTTGGATCACAAGTTTTCCTTCTTGCCATGGTTTCCTCTCTGCCTGATGTATGTATCAGTGGTCCTTTCAGCAAGAACCTGTTAGTAGTAAATTTTTAATTGCCTGAAAATGAGCTTTTTCCCCCTGAATTTCTGAATGATAGTTTAGCTAGCTTTAGTTCTATCATCTGAATTTCTTGGACATTAACACTACTATTTGTTTTGATTTACTCAAGATGGATTGTTCCCACAAGTGCTTGTAAATTTGAACTGTGCGTTTCTATTTGGTGGATCTCTACTTGTGAGAATCCTTTATGATCAATTTTGAAGTTATATACTTTCCAGAGGTATTATGTGATTACTTCCCGCAGTCCGGCTACAGCAAAATAACGGGGGGGGGGGGGGGGGGGGGGACACGAACAACTTGTGTAGATTGATACAGCAGGAGTAGGAGCCGTTTATTGTAGGACAAGAGGGGTATATATACATTACATATAGCTTATCTTAATTAACATAAACTAGATACAGCAATCAACCAATAAGGAATCTCCACACTTAATGGCTCGCTGGTGTTACTTCTCAAACCACTTCCTCTGGCAAAATGCCAGGCACCATCCTGACTTGTTTACAGACCTTAACAATTACTTCCCAATTTTATGTTAATTTTTTCTGCTTATGCATTTTCCAAAAATGAGTCTAATATAAATATGAACCCTAAGCACTGAAATGGTATGGGCCTGTGATTTTAAGTTTACAGGGACACATTTTTTTTTTTTTTTTTTTTTTTTGCTTCTCCACATTCAAATTCTGGCCCCAAATAGGAAAGTTTTCTATCACTTTCCTTTTCTAATTAGCTGATTCTTTTCTCTTAGTCACCATAATTTAGCCTTTAAGAGTCCCAACATTGGGCAGGGAGAGGGGATTGTTACTTCCATTTCCCCACCTTATGGGAACGGGACATTTCTCTCATCCAAGCCCCTATTTACAAGATTGACCCCACATCTCCTCCCAAAACCAAGTGTCTGCTCATTTGCTTAACCCATGTCATGGTCTGTTTGTGTTGCTAACAGAATACCACAGACAAGAACAGAACAGAAATATAATTCTCACAATTCTGAAAGTTAGAAATCCAAGATCAAGGTGTTAGCATTTGGTTTCTGGTGAGGGTATTCTTGCTTCATCCTCCTGTAGCAGAAGGTAGAAGAGCGAGTTAATCAAATGCTGCATGAAGCTGCTTTCATAAAGTCCTTAATTCCATCAATGGCATTCACCACAGTGCCGGGCAACTGTAGGGAGAGCCAGATCTCTGAGTCTCCGGCTCCTATGATCTAATGACCTCTTAGAGGCCCTGCTTCTTAATACTATCCCACTGGCCTTACGTGGATTTTGGAAGGGACCTCTTCAAATCACAGCAACCATTCAGACCTTCATTTCTGGAACTCGGTTTTCTCTCTTTCATTTAAAGTCAACTATGAACTTCAATTGAATATCTGTCATATTTCATTCATCCTACGTAGGTGCTTCTGGTAGAAAGTTTTCAGGTAATCTAATCAATTATACTGTTCAACCAATGAGGTCACTTTTTAATTTGATCTATTACTCACAATTGCAGGGTAAGTGTTGTTCAGTCTCAGAGTCTGGGAAACATCATCCATCTGGAAAGCCAAAAATTCTTCCTCTGTCCCTTCCAAGTGAGACTGCTGGAAATCAAACGTCCACCACTGAGAGAGATGTTCGTCCAAAGACAAGATATAGAAACAAATTTCCTCATTTTCCTGAAAATTCAACACAGAAAGCACAGAGAAACAAAAACAGAACCGTGAACCTGCCTTTGAAGGCTGAGCACAAGCCAAGGACTGCCTTTCCTACAGAAGATGAGGCAGCCTATGACATTTTGAGGATGTGTTCTCAGTGTGGTATCCTACTTCCCCTTCCCACCCTATGTCAACATCAGGTAAGCAGCCTCTCTTCTCTCCTTACACGGCAGTGAACCATTTGGATAGTATCTTCCAGAAATCCAAGACTTGCAGGATGCTACCCCAGTGTTGCAACTGAACGGGCCTTTCCCTAACTTCTCTGTGTGCCCAAGGTTTATTTGGGTTACCTCCTACATACTGGATCACCTGAGAAAGTAGAACCAGTTCTCTGAGTCCCCAGCTCCTAGCCCAGCACCAACACATGGCAAAATGCTCTAAAACTGGAGTGAAACCAAGGATAGCCAGTCTCTCTCTTCCTGAAGGTGTAGATCATTGAGGGAGAAATGGGCCTGGAATGGTGCAGAAGGGTCAGAGAGCCAACGTGTCTTGCTCCAGATTCTAAGTCAGTTGGTGGTTTGCCTCCAGCAGGTCAAGATTGCTTTAAGCCAGCCGTGGTGATGCACGCCTGAAATCCCAGCAGCTCAGGAGGCTGAGGCAGCAGAATCAAGAGTTCAAAACCAGCCTCAGCAAAAGTGAGGTGCTAGGCAACTCAGTGAGACCCTGTTTGTAAATAAAATATTAAAAATAGGACTGGGGATGTAGCTCAGTGGTTGAGTGCCCCAAGTTCAAGCTCCAGTCCTCTCCCCACCCAAAAAAAAAAAAAAAAAAATTAAGCAGATCAGGATTTGCAGCCATCTCCCTCAATATTATGTTTTTTTTTTTTTTTTTTTTTTTTTTAGATATCCTAGTTCATTTTGTTGTGAGTTGGTATTAGAGGTAGTTAACAACTGAATGCAAGTTACAATGCTGAGCTCTTGAATAATGGTTAATTGTGGGAAGCCATTCTCACTCAGTGATTTGAGTTACCTCCCTGGCTGGGTGAGAGGCACTCAGGCAAGCTTTGTCAGAGCCTTCCCCACCCTGTCTCAGGTGCAAGGGCTTGTCCCTGTGGGGGTGTGCCTGACCACTGACCTGAAGACCAATCACTGACCCTGACCTTGGAATGCTGCCCCCCTCAACCTTCATTGGATGGAATTTTCCCTTTAGTTTTTTGTTCCCCAATAAAAGCTCACTCCCTGGCGTGTTCCCTCTCTCTCGATGGCCTCTCGTGTTAACCTCGCTACCGCATTAGGTGGCTGGAGGCAGGAGCTAGGAGGAGCCATCTCTGAGTTGGGTGAAAAAGGTAGCTGAGAGTCATGTCTCTTTAATTTAAACTCACTAGTTAATTTCTATGCTTCAAACCTCTATTATGAAGCTAGCGTGCTGGTCGTGTGGCTGAGTTAATCGTCATTGTAAACAATAAACAGATATTTTATCTTCATTTTACAGGTGAGGAAACTGAACAGAAAGGTAGACTACCTTTCCCAGGATTGTGCAATTAGAGAGTGCCAGAACCCAGTCCATAATCCTCACATATATAGCTCTAAAATTTATGTTCTTAAGCTCTGGACTGGTTTGTTTGTTTGATATTGTTTAAAATACAAAGTACTAAATTTTTGTTGAAACTAGCTGACATAATACCATATTAAAGAGTATGGAATTAAAGGTAATTAATCATTCCCCACTCTTACCCTTCCCCACTCCTATGCCCTGAGATACCAATTTCAACAGCCTTGTGGGTGTCCTTGAATTGCTTCGATTTCCCCACATATTAGTTTTATATATTCATTATATTCACATATTGTTTTTATATAGTCATTTGCCTTTTCCACTTAATATATGACACATACTCTCTTCACAAAGGTAGACCTAAATCTTTTCTTCTAACTTCTTTGTCATCAATATATGCATATGATTTTTTAAATGAGCTAATTCATATTTGCTGGGGGTGCTATTAGGGCTATTTCCCTTTTCTCCATTCCTTTTTTTTTTTCTTTTCCTTCAGGGCTGAGGCCTTGCACTAGGCGAGCACTCTGCTACTGGGCGAAATCCCCAACCCCTCTCCATTCTTATACAATAGGATTGCTAGATTGAGCAAATGAAATTCCCAGATGATAATCAAATTTGGATTTCATAGAAACAAAGCATTTTTAAATATACGTATGCCCCCAAGAAATGATTCTTGGTTTCTCTGAAATTAAAATTTAACCTGGTATTCATCCTATACATAATATAACTATTGAATAATCTTGTTATATAATCATATGCAAACATGTACATTTGGAGCACTATTATACACATTTCCTTGCATCTTAATATTATGATCCAGCAATACCCAAGTAAAATCCCTTTGAGTCAAACAATGTGGCTTATTGTTTTCAATGGCTACGTAGGAGTCCTTGGCAGGAGAGTCTCTCTTCTGCTCCTTCCCCATGATCATCAGCCTCTTTTAACACTCTCCTAGAATCTCCTGATCCTCTCCTGGCTCAGTGGGGCCTCTTCTATCCATCCCACCCCATCTTTATCTTGGAGCTCATGCTCAGGAACAGGGGACAGCAATATTCAGAGACATTTCAGAAACCAGCACTTGCCACTGGGAACATATTGAACTTTATTATATCCATTTTTTTTTTTTTTTAGGAGAAATGCCTGCGGTTAGCTTCATGGAAAGGAAAACAAGTGAGAAAGTCCAGCTAGATTTGGAAAAGGTACTAAGAATTTAGATTTCCTATTATGCCGGTGTTCCTGCTTACTTTCCACGGTGCTCTCTATTTATGAAAAGAGATCAATTTTATTCTTTGGGCTTTAGAAGAAAAGCTTTGCACGTTAACCATATTTCTTCTTTTGAACAGAGACATAGGTTTACCCAAGGGATACAAATGACCAGGAAGAAAAAGGATTCCAGTTCTTCTGGCTGAGCATTCTGATTAGTCATCTGGACTCAACAGCTGGCATGTCTAAGAGACCTCAGCTTTGCCCTGAAGAATAAAAATGTCCTTCCTGGAACCTTCTTGTTCACCTTCTTTGGAATTTCTTGCTGGTTTTCCAGGGCAAGAGATGGCAGGAGCCAGGACAGCAGGATGAGCAGGGAGTGGGGGAGGGGAGAAAAGAAGAGGAAAGAAAGCAGTAGAGGGAGAAATGAGGCTCAAGGGTCAAGTGACAAAGGGGCAGCTTTGAAGACTTTGGGTAGGGAAGGAGGGGGAGTCTGGAGATGCAGCCTACCTAGGGACAAACAGTACACTCAATTTTCTTGGGGGGGGGGGGKCATTGGACATTGGGGAGGTCTCTTTGGGCACCAGCTCCCTGGCTGGAGTAGGGAAGGGCCAAGGAAGGTGGGTGGTTAGGAAAACCACATCCTGGATGGGAGGAGGCGGGAGGGATTGAAAAGGTGGGGCGGCTCTCTAGCAAATGTTCAGATTTGCTTCAGGCCTTTCTTGGGGGGCCTTGTCCAAAGAGAAGAAAAGGGAGCCCCAGGGTAAAGCCTGCAACAGCGACTTCCTAAAGAGAGGCGCAAAAGCTGGGTCTCCAGAGGCTTGGAGGGACCCAGAGGCTAGGTCAGGACCCGACAGGTTGTGGACTGCGCCCCAATTTCCCAACAGAACCTCTTCCTTGCATGGAAGGGTAGAGTGCATGACCATGTTCACCCCGAGTGCCACGCGAGCCTCCTGCCTCCCAGCGCCGGTAGGGTCCTCTCCTGGGCAGTCAGCGCGGGTTGCTCCATGCCCTGTACACACCAACAACTGACTTGGCGACTCCAAGTGTGAGCCCCTGAGACCTGTGGTGCTGAGCAGAGCCGTGCGGGCGGGCGGGGCGTCACAAAGGCGACCCGGAGATGGACATTTATTTACCTGGGCGATGGCAGGGTGCGGACCCCGGGTGCTCAGAGTTGGCGTCCGAACAGCAGCGGCGTGGGTAAAGCAGGCAGGCACTCGCCATCCCTGCAGCCCAAACCGGGCACAGCCGGAGCGGGGCGCAGCGAGTGGGTAACTGGCGAGGGGGCGCGCGTTGCAGGCTGCCAAGTCCCTCCGGGAGGCTCAGGCGGGGTGGCGGAGGGACGCCCAGAGGTCTGGAGCGCGAAGGGCGGGCTGCCTTCCTCGCCCGCCTCCTCCTGGAAGTCCTTGGGAGTTTCCCCAGCCACCCTGCATCGCCCGATGGATAGGACATCCTTAGGTTTCCTGACTGGCTGTGTGATATGGTAGATGGAGCCCAGCTTGGAGTCCCAGCTTAGGGTGGAATCCAAGGTCTTACCTTCTATTTCTCCATTTGTAAAGTGGATGGATTCATCTCTTTCTGAAGAGGATGGGGCAGAAGTATCTTGGTCCCCTCCTACTTCCTAATGGCAGCCAACATTTGGGTAGGGTTTCCAATGTTCTAAGCGCTCTTCTGTCCCTTTCCCTAACTCAGCTCATATAATACTCCCAACACTAGGAGAAAGGTACCATTACCCTATTTACAGATGCAGAGACTGAGGCACAAAGAAATTAAGGTAACACAGAAGGAGCCCAACCCACGAAGCTACACTGCCTCTCACTTATGATGAGGGTCTAGGGTTCTCTCAGTCATCATATTTGATTTGGGGGTCCCTCAAAAAAACCTCTCCAGTTCCACCAAACATATTCTTCTACCCATACCCCGACTGTTTAAATATCTATGGTTCTTCCCACTTTTGACTTTGAGGAGGAGAGAGAGAGCTAGCTTTGCTTTGTTTTTGTTTGTTTGATTTTGCAGTGTTAGAGATGCAACTTAGGGCTTCACACATGCAAGGCAAGTACTGTACCCCTGAGCGACACCTCCACCCCTTCAGTTTGGCTTTTGAATTGGTTTAGATTTGGGGGCACACCTTTTCAATGTCTTGATCCGTAGAATGGCCTGCAGAGGTTCCCCAACCTTGAGTAGCTTACAAGTGATTGAAGAGACATCCCAAATTTTTCATTTGTTAAATGTTTAAGTACTTACTTGATAGAAGACTGGGGATGGCCCTAGTCCCAAGCAGTGTGGATCCCTTAGGAGAGAAAGACAAGGACATAGATCATACGCAGTGATGCACACTGGTAAGAAGGAACAGAGAAGGGAGCACGCTGAACATGCAGGCAGGGACTCTGGGAACAGGCTAGAGCCTGGGGTCATGGGTGACAGCAGGCTACTGTTAAATCCTTCTCAGAAGTCTGTCCAGATCTGAATGTGGGGGAGGGCCTGCCGCAGGCAGAGGCCAAACTGCTCAGTGGGTAGGAAGGGAACTTGATGGAGGAGGAATAATAAAAGAGAAGGTCACCAGGAAGGCCCACATAGCACTTGCTGGAGGATGCTCATTGTCTGTGGTGTTGATGGGAGCAGGAGGAGACCTGGGCCCATCACTGGAAACAGAGGATGGGACAAAGACAGGTAGACCACCATGGGTCCTGTTCAGCAGGATGCAATGGGTGAAATATACACAGAGCCACGGAAGGAATTTTACAGACATTAAACACACATCTGGCAAACACACAGACAAAAAGGGGCACATCAAACATACTGGAATAGTTGTCTACCATGTACAGGAGAGAGCAATGGAATGAGATAAAGAGCTAAAGGGAATAAATGAATAAGTAAAACCAAAGTGGTGTCTCATGCACACAAACAATGTCTATCCCACATTGAGAAAAATATAATTTTCCCCCTTTGCATTTGAGGCCCCAAAAAATAGAGGTAAGAAAAAAAGTTCAAGAGAAAAGAGTCAGAAAGTCCAGGTTCTCATTCTGGGGTCCTGTTTCTCACTTGTTATGTGAACTCAGGCAAGATCCTTTACCTCTCTGGACTCCAGCATGCACCTGAAACCAATTCTCGGGTCTATTTCCAGTGCTATGATTTTATGAGCTGGGACCAACAATCTTGGGCTTCCTTGATAGAGTAGCCAATAAAAGCTTGAACCTGGACATACAGAGGTAGGGGGTTGGGAGAAGCAAGGAAAATAAAGGAAGTTTTGAGCAGGAGAAACTTTGAAAGAAAAAAAAAAAACTTGTGAAAACTTCAGCAGATTCCTTGTATCAGGCAGGGCAGGGAGACCCCCATGGGTCCTGTTCAGCGGGACTCCCAAGGTTGGCTGGTGACACCACCTGCAATCCAACAGCCAAATCAGAAACAACAGTTATCAAATCATATCCTCTAAGGCCCTCACAGACCCAGTTTCCATCGCAGTGCCTGGATTTCCCATGACCATCCTTCCTCTACTCCCCCAGTGTGTCCATTCTACACCGAGACTGACCACATCACCTCCACACCGATGACCCTTCCTCTCCATAGCGCTCCCTGACCTTAGCTGAGGTTCCCTACCGCTGTTCTGCTGCTCTACTCTTGAATGTACATCAGCAATGCAGCTCAGAGCACACAGAGGCTCGCATCCAGAGAAGCAGGCAGACCAGGTCAGAATTCCAAACACTCAGGGAGAAGGAACAGCAGGAATCCTGGCCTCTTGGACACAGTCTTTAAGCCCCCTCCATGCAGGACCTCCTGTAGGTCCTACTGGATCTAGCACCTCTGCCACATGTCCAATATTTTACTTCCCTGAAGGTGAACACATCCTATGCATTCGCAGCCCTGTGGCCTCTCACATATTTATTGTCCCCTCTGCCTGGAATGTATCAGTACTTCCACCACCACCACCAGGCCAAGTGGGTCTGCCTTGCAGATCTGACCTTCAAAACCACGTCACCTATGTCACTTCCTCTGAACAGCCCTCTCTACTTCCTCCCTGCCCAGAGAGAATAAATGGTAGACTCTGGGTCTACCGTGACTATGCCTGGACCTTTTCACTTCTTGCATTGTGGTGAAATTGAGGACCGATCCTCGTCCCTGGATAGACTGTGCAATTCTTACAGGTGTGGGTTGTGTCATGAGGTGAACCTGAACCCCCCTCAGCTGGTACCGTGCCTAATATAGTACACAGAGGACCACAGAGAAAGTTGGTTCAACTGAGTTTAACTTCTGCTGGGCAGGTAATGGCTCTTCCTTTGTACTCCCCACAGAAAACAATTGCTTGTCTTTCCTCATTTTTGGAAGCCCTGCTTACCACGCAGCTGCACAACACATCTGGGTTCTTTGATGGATGAAGAAAGTGAACCCATCCAGCCTCAAGACCAGAGTTGCTGGGCCACCCTGCCCGATGTCTGCCTGCGACGTGTCTTCTGGTGGCTGGGAGACAGGGACAGGTCCAGGGCAGCCCTGGTCTGCAGGAAGTGGAACCAGATGATGTATTCAGCTGACCTCTGGCGATACAGGACCATCACCTTCAGCGGGAGACCTTCCCGGGTACACGCATCCGAATTTGAGTCAGCTCTTTGGTATGTTAAGAAATTTGGCCGTTACCTGGAACACCTGGAGATCAAATTCCTGAATCCTTACAATGCTGTCTTGACGAAGAAGTTTCAGGTCACCATGCGAGGTCTTCTCTCGTGCCTGGGCAAGAGTAACAACCGCCTGAAGTCTCTTTCCATTCAGCACTTGGAACTGGACCGTCTGGTCTGGAGGAACAGCATCAGGAGCTCTCTCATCAAGAGCCTGAGCTTCTTCCTAAAGAAAATGGGCAAACACCTGGACTACCTCAGCCTGAAAGGGGCCAGGCTCACAGTGGAGCAAGGCTGCCACGTCCTCAACTCCCTGAGCTACCTACGGAACGAGAGCATGGCCTCGGAACTCAACATTGAGGATTACTTCAGCCATCACCTGGCCGTCTACAGCAGCCCCCAGTTCAACAAGACCATGGCCACGTTCCACAACCTGGTGTCCCTGACGCTCAACTACAACTGTATCTCTGATGAGCTGCTCGAGAACTTGGGTGAGAACAACGCCAGCACCCTCTGGACCATGAACATCAAATGCCATATTCACGATCCCCATGGCCAAGTTGTCTGGGGCATGTCCTGGGCCAAGCTGGCCAGACAGGCCAACAACCTGAAGGTGAACTTCTTCTTTGAGCGGGTCATGAAGTACGAGCGCTTGGCCCGGATCCTCCTGCAGGAGATCCCGGTCAGGAGCATCAGTCTGAGAAGCTGCTATTTCAGTGATCCAGACTGGTCCATGCGGCCCACTCTGATGGACCTCCTTCCCACCTTCCGGCACACTCTGCAGGTGAGTGGGAAGTGAGACTCGGGAAGGCTTGAGAAGAGCGACTGTCACTCAGGTGACTGGCTTTCCCAGAGGAAAGCCCCCCTGCCCGCTCTTAGCTCAGCTCCCACACATCTCAAATTAAGGGTCTAGGAAATGTTTGCCAGACCAACTTCCCCTGTGTCCCCACTGCCACAGCAGATGACAAAGACTGTTGCTCATCCCAGACTCTTTTCTTATTGCTATTCCCTAAACAATGCAGAATAACAACTATCTACATAACATTTACGTTGTTCTTAGGTATTATAAGTCATCTCCAGGTGATTTAAAGTATACAGGAGGATGCACATAGGTCATATTCAAATACTATGCCATTTTATAAAAGGGACTTGAGCATCCATGGATTTTGGTATCTGAACAGGGGGAGTCCTGGAAGCAATCCCTTATACATACCAAGGGATGACTGTAGCTGGTTTGAGCTTTTCCTGAAATACAGGAATTTTCTGGTTGGTTGTTAACCAAGAAAATCCTCTATATCCTTAGCTCAGAGCTGTGAAGACAGAGTTAGGAGGAGCCTTCCAAGTGACAGGTGGTCAGCCTCTTCCACCTTCCTACCAGGCCACAGCAGAACACAGAGTACCTGTGGCTCCTGTGGTCGCTGCTATCCAGGGACCTATCTGATTACAAAAGTGCCTGCTACTTGGAAAGATGGGTTGGGAGAGAACCAAACTAACCTAAAAGCTAAATTCAATTTAGTCCACTGAAGAGCTTGGAGGTTCTGGACTATTCTCTAATCTTGCATTTTCCCCCATATATAAAACCAGAATCATTTTTGAGCCTCCTAAGGGCCTCCCAGTGGTTCTAACAATTGACATGAATAACTATAAATAACATTATGAACATGGATGAAGATGCTAATAGCTCATTTGATGTCCGCATAACCCTGAGGCGTGCAGGGCAGACATCACTATGATTTCTCAGAGCTACAGAAAAAACCTGAAGTTTGGCAGCCTGCCCACTGTCACCCAGCCAGTCCATCCCAGGGATGAGGTCAGCACTTTGGTCTCTGGATTCCAAATGCACTTGCCTCCACCTTCCAAGTTTTTCAAATTTGCATGCAATCACACTTATTCTCAAAGCTCTTCCTTTGAGAACTAAATGTCTAGTGTCCCTTATCTAAAAAGCTTGCAAACCACTCCAGCTATCATCAGGCCCAAAGCTGGGCCTTGCAGATAAGGTAGAATGACCCAGCCAGTCCCAGAAACCCTGCCCACACACTCCCCTCTTTGGTACTTTTCCAGAAATTAACTTTTGAGTTCAACAACAACCATGAGTCACTGGATGAAGAGCTGCACCTTCTCATTCTAAACTGCAGGAAGCTGTTTTACTTTAAAATCTGGGCTTTCCTCGATGTTAGATTTGTAGAGCGAATTCTGAAGAGCCAAGAGGAGGGGCAGTGTGCCCTGCGCACCCTCAAGGTAAGAGCCCCCAATTGGTTCTCTGGTCGTCTGGACACCCTTGGTGTCTGGACATGGTGATTCTGCTCTGAGATGCAGGTCAGAGATGAAGGGAGGGCTGGGCAGGGGGCAGTCATCGCACCTGAATCGAACAGTTTCCCAGAGAGGAATTTGGAGCTGTCTTCCGTAGTACACTCAGGCCTCGGTATCCATGGGTTCCACATCTGTGCATTCAACTGACTAAAGATAGATACTTGGGGAAAAATACTGGGTCTGTACTGAAGATATACAGACTCTTTTCTTATTGCTATTCCCTAAACAATGCAGTATAACAACTATTTACATAACATTTATGTTGTCTTAGGTATTATAAGTCATCTCCAGGTGATTTAAAGTATACAGGAGGTTGCACATAGGTTATATTCAAATACTATGCCATTTTATAGAAGGGACTTTTGAGCATCCATGGATTTGGTATCTGAACAGGGGGGAGTCCTGGAAACAATCCCTTATAGATACCAAGGGATGACTGTAGCTACTTTTCCTAATTCTGACAGATCCTTTGGATTAATTGTTAGGTCCTGAATGATGTGGTCACTGTGTGTGTGGGGGGGGGTGCATTTCTCTGTTGGTCCAGGTGAGAATTTATACAAACAGATACGAGACAAATGAAGAAGACAGGACCCTCCGGGAAATTTACAGGAAGTACAGAAAGCTGATCGATTCAGAGCTAAACTATTTTGTCATCGCTTATCCCATGATGTGAAGAGCACTCTCTGGAAGAAGAAAGCTAGGAGCACTTTGAACTTGAAAATCCAGTTCTCAGAGAACTATGCTTGTGGCACCCCACCTCCAACCTTCTTTCCTCTCCTTTTTGCCAATCCCACACCATCATGAACAGCCCAGCAAAGGCTGGGACTGCTGGGGATGTGAAGGCCCTAGGTGACTTTAAAGTGCTATCTTTACCAACTATCCAGGAGTAATTTCTCTTTTTATCATTTTTTTTTTTTTTTTGCTTTTTGACACCCTCATTCAGCCACAGAGGGGGAAAACACACACACACACACACACACACACACACACACACACACTCACACCCGAAAGTCACCAGAAGTAGCTTCCTACTAGGAGACGCTACCAGTGCTCCTAAAAAGGTGTGTGACCAGCCAGTAAGCAAAAAAGAATCTATGACCCACGTTGCCAGTTTAGAACTAGATCCTTCATGTCAGAGCCTCCTGACATTGACATGGTCAGGGACTGACCTCACCTAAATGGAAATCCGCCAGCCTGTCCTAGGACGAAGCAGGAGAATCCCCCACTTTCAGAAGGAGCCTGTTCAGAGCTGGAACTCTCTCCCCCTGGGAGGAGGAACTCAGGCCCTGATTTTTTCAGTCTTGTGGACTCAGTTCTCCTGCCTTGGCTTTGCTATGTCTTTAGTTTTCTATTCAGGCCCAGCCTGCTGCGGACGCTCAGTCCTCAATGTGGGCTGAAACAGAAGCAGCCATTGCACTCGTGTTTATGAAGAATCTGTAGTGTCCTGGGGGAGGTGTTCTCAATGCCATGCTAAGTGAAGAAAGCAGAACACAGACCTCCATATTTAGTAAGATATCAATCATATAAAACAAATCTAAGGTTGTTTTTTTTTAACCCCAAAATATTAGGAGTTATTTCTGAGGGGATAGAATTATAGGTGGTTTTTATTCTCCTTTTTATGTTTATATTTCTGAACTTTTCTACAAAGACCATTTTTTATTTTTTATCATTAGGAAGAAGTCTAGTGTATTTAAAATAATGAGTAATTTTAAATTCCTGAGTCCATGCCATAGACATGTTTTATTTCTGGTCCTTTGAGGGTTTTTTGTTTGTTTGTTTTGTTTTGTTTTGTGCACATAGTTGCCTGTTGTTCTCTTTTTCAGTGTATATAAACAAATAAAATTCCAGAATATTTTTAATAAGTGACTAGTTTCAGACTTGTTGTCTTGCCTTTGTGTGCTGCGTGTCCATATTTATGCTTTTTAACCTTTTGTTACAATTTGTATTTAACCAGTGCTTTTTTTTAAGAGAGAGAGAATTTTTTTAATATTTATTTTTTAGTTTTCGGTGAACACATCATCATTATTTTATTTTTATGTGGTGCTGAGGATCTAACCCAGCGCCCCGCCCATGCGGGCAAGTGCGCTACCGTTTGAGCCACATCCCCAGCCCCAAACTAGTGCTTTTTAATTCTCAAAGCACTTTCATGGTCACGATCATCTGGTTCATTCTCCTGCAATGCTGTTTGGTAGACACGGTCACCGTTTCACGAGCATTCAGGAGGAAGCTCCTGAGTCTGATGGGGAAAGACACCTTAAATTATCATAAAAAGCTAAAAGCTAAAAGGGCCAAGGAAGCAATCCCTTACTCAGTGGCCCAAAGGAGGTGATTTGCCTGGGGTCAGAGAGGGGCTTCCGCTGGAATCCTGACCACCTGGCAGATGGTTCCATGGGTGTGATTTCTTTGTATTATGGATGATTCTTTTCATCCCAAACATGGAATCTACATATAGGTAAACTCTTACATAAACAGGTGTTCAAGTTCTATGAAAATTCTCTCCAAAAAAGGAGAAGGTTCATCTTACAGCTTTGCAAATCTGCCATGTCTGGCGGAATTGTAGACCCCTGGATTCTCTCCATGCTTCTGCCTTCAGTCTGCTGAGATATCACATACCATGTCACCTCCAGAAAACTCCAGATAAAATGGGAGTAAAAAAGGCACATAATGACTTGATACAATTGTTAAAACAGTTTTAATCTCACGGATCCCTTGAAAGGAGGAACTCGGGGATCCTCAGAGATCCCCTGACCACACAGAGAACTACTGGCAAATCAGTCTGGCTCCCCAGAGGAACTGAACCAGGCTCAACAGCAGGAGAGTCATAGTGCACTTATTTAAACAATATTTAAAGTATTAAAGCAAATATCATCCCCCTTTTTTTTAATTGCCATCTTCAAAGGCCCAGGGGTAAATAGAGTCAGCTAACTGACTTATGACCTCTGCATTCCTGAATAACAGCTTCTTTTTTTTATTTTATGAAAACATTTTAATTTGTTATATATGACAGCAGAATAMATTATGATTCATATTGCACATATAAAGCACAATTTTTCATATCTCTGGTTGAAAGTAGAGTCACACCATTCATGTCTTCATACATATACTTAGGGTAATGATGTCCATCTCATTCCACCATCTTTCCTACCCCTATGACCCCTCCCTTCCTTTCCTTCCCCTTTGACTACCTAGAGTTCATCTAATCCTCCCATGCTCCCCACCACCACCACCAGCCACATTATGAATCAGCATCCTTAAATCAGAGAAAACATTTGGCATTTGGTTTTTGGGGATTGACTAACTTCACTTAGCATTATAATCTCCAGTTCCATCCATTTATCTACCTGCAAATGCCATGATTTTATTCTCTTTTAATGCTGAATAATATTCCATTGTGTATATATACCTCATTTTATTTATCCATTTATCTACTGAAGGGCATCTAGGTTGGTTCCACAGTTTAGCTATTGTGAATTGTTCGGCTATAAGCATTGATATGGCTGTGTCCCTGTAGTATGCTGTTTTTAAGTCATTTGGGTATAGACCGAGGAGAGGGCTAACAGCTTCTTTTTTTATACTTGTCCTTGTTCTCCAATAAAAAGCAAGAAGATGGAGGGACAGATTCCCACATGGCTCACAGGGCTAAGGGTCTGCAAAGAGCACCTGTTTTTGTTGTTGTTGTTGTTGTTGTTTTGAAGAAATACATAGGACTGCTCCAATGTGTTCCTGGTCCTATCCTTAGAAGCAAGAGACACATACTGACTTTCTAGGATCTCCTTGGGTTGTTGGCTTATAGCTGAAGCAGCTTTGGTGACAAAGTGACTGGGGTCAATTTCCCAGCATATCCAAGTTGTAATGGACTGAACATTTGTATACCCTCCAAAAATTATGTATTATAAAATGTAATCCCCAAGGTGATGATATTTGGAAGTGGGGTCTTTGGAAAATAATTAGGTCACTAGGGTGGGGCCCTCATGAATGGGATTAGTGACCTTATAAAAGAGGCCCCAAAAAGCCTCTTCACTCTCTTAGTATGATGTGAGGATACAAAGAGAAGTTATCAGTCTGCAACCTAGTAGACAGCCCTCACCAGAACCCAACCATGCTGGTATGCTAATTAAGACCACCAAGCCTCCATAACTGGGAAAAATAAATTCCTGCTGTTCACAAGCTACTCAACTCTGTAGTATCTTTCGATATCAGCCTGAACTGACTGAAACCACAAATATGTATGGAAAGTAGGGATTTGATCAAACTAGAGCTTAACTCATTATCTGCTGACCAACTGACAATATAAGGGCGGATTTTTGCTTTTGAAAAGACTCAGGGATGGACCTTTGATTTTCTGGGCTAGATGAAGCCTAAGGCCTAGATTTGCAGACCGTTTGGGCCATCTGTGTGATCTTGAATTAAGTTTCTTACTCTGTTTCGGCCTTAGTTTTCACTATGTATAAAATGGGAGGAGCTGAGAAATGCTGTTATCTCTGAGGTCCTTCAGATGTCGGTCTTGGGACACAGGTCTGGGAGGCTGAGCATGGATGTGAAGGGCTGCAGTGGCCTGAAGCATCTGGCCTTGAGAACCAAGGCAGCCTGGCTTTGAGTTCTGGCCTGCCACCTACCTGCATCCTTGGGGTGAATGTTTAACCTCCTGGACAGCTGTTCTGTATAGAGAGGAATATATTAATAGAAGAATAAATTAATGCACATGATACAATACACAACCCTGGCCCATGGGTATTCAATGAATGTTGGTTTGTATCTTGTTTAATACATGGAAAAAGAGACTTGAAGAAGGACAGGAAGGTAACTTGCCCAGAGCCACACAGTCTACCAGTGGCAGAACCAATACTGTACTTTCCTGATTCAGAGCCCAGAGCTTGCTCTTCTACATAAACAATAAAATGGGAAGATTTCAATTCCTCCCTTTCCCTCACTAGCCCGGGTCAGACAGGTAATTAAAGTGATCTCCTATTGAGCGGGTACATGCTAGGTGTTAATTCACACAGTTCTATGGAATCCCCACAGCAGCTCTAGAAAGTAGAGACTACCATCACCCCTCTTTTAGAGATAAGGAGACTGAAGTTTTTGCAAGGCTAACCTGCCTGAAGTCGTGTAGAATGTGCTGAAAAGTGAGTGTCAAACCCACCCCAATTCCAGAGCCAACCTCCTAATCACTACATTCAGGTTGCATCCCACAGTAAGATTCGGAATCCCTTACTCTGGAATTCCATTAAGTGCAAGAGCATTTGGAAGAGAAGTTCAGTGAAAATTTCTGTTTGATTTCTGTTTAGTCTAGAAATGCTACTGTGTAAAATACAGTAAAATTCTGAGAATTTTATTAAATTAAATTCCATTTAATTACAAGAGCCAGAGGAGAGAGGAGGGAAAGATTTAAGGAAAATTATTCAGAGAATGGAGTGAGCTTATTCCACACTCCTGAACGGATCTTAAAACCCTGACTTCAGAATCCCAGATTGATGACTCTCTGAGTGCCACCGCATCCTGCTTACAATCTCAACCAATCCAGAAACCATGGCTCCTCTTCCTGTTCCAACCTTTTCCTGCTACCTGTTATCCTGCCCCTCTCATCTATAGCCAATGCATATTCAGATATAAATGCCTTGTACTTGCTTTCCCAAATTTTCATTATGAAATTGTTTTTAGCTCTGGTTCCAG